CTCATTCTTTTGGTCATTACCCAGAAGTCGTGACGACAGGTGAAGGTAGGAACATAGACCGACTGGTAAACAATGAGCTTCTCCTTGCAACTCAGCTCCCTTTTCACCACAATGGACCGGAACAGAGTCTGCAGTACTGCAGATGCTGCACTGATCTGTCAATCTCATGCTCCATTCTTCTGACTGGATCCTTCAAAACCTCAGAAAGGGCCTCTATGAATCAGCAGATCAGAGTTCATGTTCTTCGAGCTTATCCTGTCTGAAAAACGTGAGGCATTTTTCAGGTTTTCCCTGATTTCCAGAGCTGCTGGGAACTCTGAGTCTATCAGGAAGTTTTTTTTTTAAATTACAGAAACAAAGGCAACAATTTTATAAAACCTCAAGTCCTCCTCTTTAATTTTGCTGCTTGTTCCAAACAGCTGAAGTTGCTGAAAAATGCAGAGCAGCTATAAGTGCTGCGAAGAAGCCCGACCAGGGAGGGTGCTTTTTCTAGTGAGCCATCTGTCGCTGAGTTCACATTCTCTTCTCTTCTACTGAAGAGCTGCCAAAAGCCTCTCAACTAAGAACGCGCACGCTCAAACGCAGAAAGGACACGTAACCTACTAGGCGCACACTCATCTTTGTGTGCAGTCGGCTTGACGAGGTAATCTGCGACAGCATCAGAAAACAGGAGCAAGCGCCAATCACTGCCGGCACAGACGGATGTTTGTTGATCTTCACATGAAATGCAGATGCAGTGAAACTCGACACGACGTGAAGAGGTCTCAGAATAATGAGGACTTAATGATCCCTGACCTGTTGGGAGTCGGGTCAGGTTCTGTTGACTCGATCGGTTGTGTGTGAGAGGAAATCACTTTCAATCTGTACACTAGTTTGGAAAAAATGCCTTTCTTTAAATGACACCTCAAATCTGAATTCACTTAAAAGTAGGACACCAACACCAACTAAAGGCATCGAATAAAGTTCTGAGTTTGATTCTAAAACATCACACTACTATAAATTAACTTTTGCAGCTTCTGCATTTTGATATGCTAAAATTAAAAGAGGAGAACAGATCATTAATATTGTACTGAACAAACACCTTGATCCACTCGTTTTTATTTGCATCTGAAGAGAGCTTACCGTATTTTTTGCTGTATAAGTGGCAGCTTTGTGCATAAATTAGAATGCCTGCGACGTATACAGGGAAGTGACGTATTCACGTTTTCATATTTATAACCAAATTTTTGGCTGAGATCTGACGATTTCATTCATTCTGACATGGAAAATATTGAACACTACCAATTTACAGCCACTAGAGGGTCCTCAACCAATATGGCAAGTCTCATTAATAAATAAAAGTGGCTACTAATGGCACACTTGGCTTGCCATACAGAGCTACCATTGTCTCGCTCTGGATCTCCTGGAGTAAACGTCAAATCAGCTGCATTTGGCTGCGCCGCCCAGGAGAAATGCAGCTGATTTGACCATTTAAGTGCATTTATTAAGGAAGAGTTAAACTGAGACACACCTTTACTATAATTCCGAGCAAACAAATTATTGCTTTTAAGTATTAATCTTGTTAAATTATTGATAAAGTCCTCCCATGCACGCTCCCGCGGCTGCCATTTAGCAGCCAATCGATTTTTGGTACATCACCAGCCCACGTTTCTGGGTTGTCAGCGGTGATAAATGCGACTTTTACGGAAACGCAACATTTACGGCAGCAAGTACGGTAAGTTTTAGATTTTCATGCTTTCTGACGACTTAAATGTTTCCTTTGGATCTTTTTTATATTCATTTACAGCCACAGATATTTGTACCTGACCATGTTCATATATTTGTATATTAAGCCACCCAGCACTAATCCATGAATCATTTAGGCATAAAAGAAATGTGCGGTTTGAAAAAAGAACTAGCGTTGTGTTTACAGTGTCAGTCTTAAAGTGAGCTTTACTGCCTTTTGCTGTAGCTGCATCAACAAACATTACCGTATTTTTCGGATTATAAGTTGCATTAAGCAAAACAAAACAGTCAGATAAGTCAAACTTTATTCAACTCATTCACAATAACCACATAAAATCGGTTCGAGGTCGGTAAGCACAACCATCGTTAATACAAAAGGCTCGCTGTCCATTTGTAAGAAAATTAAAGGATTTTAAGTGCATCTTATAGTACAAAAAATATGGTACACAAGCCAAGAAACACATTTTACATTGAAAGATATCAGTAATAATTTTAAAGATGAGTTCTGTGGAATGGTTATGAACAATCAATGTCTTACCTGTTGTACATAGCTCTTTGAACAAGTTCTGTTCGAAATAATAGTTATTTTTTTACTACATTGACACGACGATGACCTGCGGCGCTACTTTAAGACAGCAGCAATCCACTTTGGCTTGGACCCACTCCGACAAGCTGTTAAATCATCAGTCCAGTCAGAAATGTACTCACTTTCTGCACGTCATTCAAAGAGCTAGCTTCAACAAGTTAGGATAATCTTTGCTCAGAGCATTTGCACAGATCCCCACTCCAAAAAAATCTGAACTACTGCTTTTAAAGCAAATTTTAAAGAGGCATGAGCCAAAAACATCTAGGTCAGAGGTCTGCAACCTTTGTGGTCAAAAGAGCCATTTCTGCACCTTCGCTCAATAAATAAAACGTGTCTGGAGCCACAAAACCTGCTACAACTGTGGTTATCAACTGATGGCCCATGGGCTGCTGAGTTTGTAGGAGGGGGGGCTTTTCTGTCCAATGAGGGTGACATCCATCCATCCATTTTCTTCCACTTATCCGGGGTCGGGTCGCGGGGGTAGCAGCCTAAGTAGGGAGGCCCAGACTTCCCTCTCCCCAGCCACTTGGGCCAGCTCTTCCGTGGGAATCCCGAGGCGTTCCCAGGACAGCCGAGAAACATAGTCCCTCCAGCGTGTCCTGGGTCTTCCTCTGGGCCTCCTTCCGGTGGGACGTGTCCGGAACACCTCACCAGGGAGGCGTCCAGAAGGCATCCTACCCAGATGCCCGAGCCACCTCAACTGGCTCCTCTCGACGTGGAGAAGCAGCGGCTCTACTCTGAGTCTCTCCCGGATGATCGAGCTTCTCAACCTCAGGGTGACATTATAAAACTAAAATTATATCATGAATTTTAACATTTATTGTTATTTTTACATTTTAAGAGAAAAAAGACCATATCATGAAAAGAAGAAAAAATAATTATAGTTTATATCGATTCTGATAAAAATGTAAACACTGAACTCTGCAGGCCTGTGTGAGGAATAATAAATAAGTATCGGGCAGGGCTACGGTAGCTCGGTGGTCAGTGCCGCGGTCCTGAGGTTACGGGTTCGAGTCCAGGTCGCATCAGGAAGGGTATCCAGCGTAAAACAAATGGCCAAATCCTTCATGACCCCTGAAGAAGGGAGCAGCCGAAAGAAACTTACTGTTTCAACAATTTTCTGTGGGATCAGTAAAGGTCTTTTCTTATCTTACTAGTAGTTATCGGACAGAAAAATTGACAATAAAACTGTCAAAAGTAGCCTTTTCTTTTGTGAGTATAAAATCAATACAATTAAATTTCATTAAGTTTTGGTAAAAGCTTCAAAGAGATGACGATTACGGTCATCGTGTGGACCCACAGCCACAGCTTGCAGAAGGTTTCCATGGCTTATTTTTTATTTTGTATTTTAAGTCAAAAAGCTTTAACTAACCTGAAAAACTCATCTTGAAGAAAAACTATAAAGCTGCTCAAAGAAAAGAAAAAAAAAAAAATCAACCCTAACATTTACAGCTCTCGACCTTGACCTCTCTAAGTGGCTTTAAGAATCTGTTGGACTCCTGGCAGGGACCAATGCAGACATGTTCCTGTTTTTAGTTTTATACATTTGTCTCGGAATCTAGCTGTTTTTTTTTGGTTTTGTTACCTTTTTCCTTTTAGCCATCCTATTTGTTAAAAAAAAAAAAAAAAAAAAAAAAAAAAAAAAAAAACTGTAGTATGAGTTTTTATAACTGCTTATTGTTGTTGCTGTTGTCCATTGTTGTCATCTTTCTTTGTTGAAATCAGGTCTCTCTTGTAAATGAGTCCTCGAGGCTCAATGGGATTTACCTGTATAAATAAAGGTTGATTGATACTGTCCATTAAAGCTTGTTAGAATTGTTACAGACTTTCTCTGTGGTTAAAATTTAATTCATTTCCATTTTGTTTGCATATAATTAAAAACATGCCTACACTTTGTTTCCTGATTTACGTACAGAGCATAAAGAAATGAGGCGTTACTCGAACTTTTGTCGCTACTGCAGCTGCATCAACGAAAAAGAATTAAAGACTAATCCTCTTGATTTGCTTTAAACCTTTTGCATGTTGTTTCTTCTTCTAACCCGATGTCATCGGAGCAGTTCCTTGGTGTTTGTAAAGCAATAAAAAAAAAATGTCTAACTGTGCAGAAAAAAATGACAAAAAAAAAAAAAAGAAAGAAAAATCCTGATGTCAAATTTGAGAAACTTTTTTTTATATTTTGGATACAATGAGTTATTTTTTATTTTAAAAAATATTTTCTTGCAGGTTTTGTTTATTGCATCTAAAAAAATGTACTCTCAGTCATGCAAATGGTATTCTGAAAGTGATCTACAGGACATGTTATTTTTTTTATAAGTCTTTGCTTTCTGTCCATGCACTGTTTTGCTGTTTTGCACATAAGAAGGTGTGCTGAGCTACTCAAGTGACAGAATGGTTTCGCCTGACTATACTCTTAACAAGTCATCTTGAGATGCTGATTTTCATTAATAATTTACAATTTGCATAACCATCTGACAACAAACACAAAAATATTTACCCAAGAAAAGTAAGGTAGTTTAACCAGCTGCATTAAAATACAGTATATGGGAAAAACAAAGATTTAAAAGTTTGTCAAAAGCCTTGATGCAAATGCAACTAGATCACTTTGTAATAGAGCACAACATCCTCTAGCAGCATTCGACTACTGCACAGTTCAGTTCACAAAAAGGGAAAGTACGGTTTCATAACTTACCGATCTCTTTCCCCAGTCTTGAACGCAGCATGGCACCAGCAGACGTGACCACCGCGCACGTCTTGAAGCTGCTCCTCTCCCGACGTCTGTTCAGATGCTCCAGGGGAAGTGACGGCACCAAATCAAGCCAGCCGAGTGAGGAGAAGGGCTCTTCTGACCCGTCCAGCGTTCGCAGCCGTGCCTGGCCTTTCATTTGGCACAGCAGCTCCTTGGCACTCTGGTTGGTTCTGCGGTGTCCCTTGTAGGACACGCTGTGTTTGTTGGCACTCATGTATTCCTTCATGGCTTGCTGCAGTCGAGGACTAAGCATGTTGGAGGACACACGGCCTCTCCACAGTCGATGCACCACAGAGTCAAACTTGGAGAAATAATACTCTTCCAGATTGGTGGAGTCGCCGCCGGCCCTCTTGCCTCTGGGAGCTCTCCTTCTGTTTCCAAGCTCTTCAGTTTCATTTTCTTTCCCATCGTCTTCCTCATCACCATCACGGTAACGAGTTGTATCATCTTGGTTCGGATACTCTGTGATCTGAAATGATCTCTCACGGCTCTGCACTGCAGAATCTAAATGAGAGCCCACATTCTCAACATTTTCTGTACCAAAGGAGGACCAGGCAGCTAGGCTGTGTGGGTCCAAATAGTCCTGGTGTCTTACTTCCTGGCTACTGTAAGTAGTGTAAGGAGCACCGTGTGGGCTCTGGCTAACTTTTACGCTGGCCTCTGGGGTTGAGGAGCTGCTTAAAAGGCCCAGTCCTGGCATTTCTCTGAGATACGATGTAGGTTTTAATCCCACACTGGCGTGTTGCGGATTGGAGGCTTGTATGGAGTTTAGTCTGCGGGTGTCAGGATGCTGGGAGAGCAAAGAGCCACTTAAGGTCAAAGGCTCGTTGGCACGAGTATCCAGGAAGTAAGTGAGAAGGACAAAGAAAACGAGAACCCAGGCCAGCATGGCCACCAGTGCCAGCTTCCACCACTGCCTCATACTGGACTTGATTATCCGTCAACTCTCACAGACGCCTGCTGAGCTGGTCCACCAGCTACAAAGCGCCGCAGCCAGGACTGAGCCCAGAGGTCAGCTGGAGGGCCTGTGAAATAAAGCTCAAAGTTACCGCACAAAAGAAAAGAAACCAGTGGAGAACAGCAGCAGAGCTTTGAAACACTCACCTGAACTGGAGCGTTTATTTCTTTCTGACCATGTGTCCGCTGGGATACAAACAGCACCCTGAAAGAAGGATTGGAGCCAGTTAGTGGAGTCAGGACAGAACATGCAGGCATGTGGGTGTGTACATGAAAAACACTCATTTTACAAGTACATGATGGTAAAACGCACTCTGCACAGAAGAACTTTGGTGTATACCATATACTATATAAAACAAGACATTTTCAGAACAAAACACTTTCAAGCTTATTGCAACGTCACTCCTCTGTCATATTAAGCTCGAACTAAAACTCAAACCCTTAAAACTTAAACTTTAACCCTAGATCAAAATGAACGTTGCGTCAGACAGTGATGTGATTTCAAGGCCAAGTCTCAGCCACTAAAATCAGCGAGAGCTAAAGCAACTCTTGATCAGCTCGTTACACCATACTGCTGCGTTGGGAAACCACCGAGTTACGTCAGACTTGTTTAACATGAAATGCCCAAAAAACTTTAACAAGAAAAACACTAAACCTTTTTAACCAGAATAATTAGCATTACCGTTGTGGCAATGACTCCTCTTAAATCAGCATCAGGACAGTGAACACTTCATCACCAAAGCCTAATCAAATGACAATGAGATGCTTATCTGACCTCTCTACTCCCAGATCCTAATCAAGCTCTGAGATAAGCTTCAAGAAGAAGAATCCATCCGTCAACATACAAGATTAAAAAGACTTATGTCCCTGTAGTTCAGTGAAATGATCAAACTTTTATTCTCACACGTGTGTTTTCCTTTGTGTAGCAGCTGCGCGAGTTTTAGATGAATTTATTGACTTTTACATTTCCAGCTCATTCAGTATCTAACAGAAACGAAACTGTGAAAAATATTGCAACATTTCCAAGAAGCTCATTTTGAAATGATTTAATTAGTTCAAACAGAATACACGTTAATTGTTACCGTATAATGCAATCAACTAAAAAAAGGAGGAAAAGAAGCAGATTGTTTATTGCAACATCAAGTTGCTAAAACAGCTATTGACTTAACAGCAAATTGCAAAAAAAATAAAAAAAAAACAAAGGCGATGCGATCTAACTTCACTTTTTGTGCACAAAAGAAGAACTAAAATTTTTGCTTTGAGCCAATGTTTTGGTTGTTCTTTATGGACCACTGTAGGAACAACAACTAGCAAAGCTGCTAACGGTTTGTATATAATGCCACCAGCATGGCTGTTTGTAATTTAAAAAAGTGGGAAATTTTTTTTTTATTCAATAATAAACACATCACAGCATAATTAGTCCACATTGTTCACGCTGAAGCTCAAAAGCAGCAGAGTAAAATCGCATTATTTGAAACTAGAGTTGCATTCGGGCCGAAAAAAATTTGACCCGGCCCGAGCCCATGGGTTTTGTTTCCGAGCCCGACCGGACCCGACCAATTAATTATAATTACAGGCTCAAACCCCGCCTCCAAAAAAAAACTGACATTTTTTTTAATTAATCTTTTATTGCTTTTGTAAGCAAATCAGTTTGACATATTTTAAAAACGTAACAAAAGGAAGACATAAGATTTCTTGTTTCACCAAATGGATATTAACATACAAAACGAAAAGCTTAAAAAATCAACTCTAAAGACAGACTGATGAACAAAAATATTTTTAGAGCAGAATTATTTGGAAAACTGTAAAACAAGCTTAGTTTAAATGAACGGGCTGCTCGCTTCAGCTTTTGTAGCTTCAGATACTTCCTTCACCGTATGATGATGAGCATGAACTTTGTTTCCTTCACCACAAATGACAGCAGGTGCGGAGACGCACGCGGACGGTGATCAGCTGATCCATCTGAAGCTTAAAAGGACGTGTTTTGTTTTTTTCTCTATTTTAACAGGCCGGTCAGCGGACGTGAGTGGCTGATGATCCTATTGTCCATCTGAAGCTTAAGACTTTTTTTTTTTACCTCTTATTTAAAGCGGCCAGTCGGACCTATCTCCTCTTCAAGTAGATTAACACAATTTTATATTGTGCAATTTTATTTAGTTTTCTTTATGCTATATGAATCGTAAAACGTCACCGAAAGCCAGAGACTGACCCCGCCTGCCCATCAACAACATTATTTTGGCCTGAATTTTGGGCCGGGCCTGGGTTAACAATCGCAGCTCTACTTGAAACAGAGGCTCCATCTAAATTTAACGGTGAAAGCAGTGAATGTCATCCTCAGCTGATAAAAACAGCAGCACAACGGCTTAGTGGTTAGCACTGTTGCTTCACATCAAGAAGGTCCTGGGTTCAATCCTCGGGTTGGACCTGCAGTATTTCTGTGTGGAGTCTGCATGTTCTCCTTGTGTTTGAGTGGGTTTTGTCAAGGTACTCCCGTTTCCTCCCACAGTCCAAAAGCACGTTAGGTTGCTTTCAGGCCCAGGCCTCCTTTGCAAGAGAGATCTGTGATCCCCATGGGATTTGCATGGTCAAACAAAGGTTAATGAATTAAAAAAACACAACAGAGTTGCTGGAAACCAGTGAGAGTATTGTAGCATGTTAACCTCTGGAAGCTACTTCAATTACATAAAATGGGCTTGGCTACAAGAAGACAACAAAGCACAAATATTAACAAAATGAGCACAAAAAAAAAAAAGAAACCTACTTCCACTAAAGGTGGGAACAAACCAAACTTGTTTCACATTTAAAATAAGAAAACTGTTGAGTAAATTTAGGCATTAAAGATCGGTGAGGAGGAGACACAGATACATGTGCAATCTAATAGATGCAGTTTAAAAACAGGAACACTGAACAATTGATTAAAAATACCTGTTGCTACATATTGTTTCAAGGTTTTGATGCTTAGATTGACGGCACTTAAATTATTGTTTATTTGTAGTGTTGCTCTTTGTTTATCCTGTAGATAAATCTAAGAAGGTTGAGATCAAACGGTTTGCTGATTACAGAGAAAACTAATTGTTCATGTGCAAAAGGAGAACCATAAGTCTAACGATTGATCGTTAGTGCCCTGATGGCTGCTTGCTATTCACAGAGGGCTGAGTGATGTTTGCAATAACAGCATTATATGAGAGGAACAAGTGAACACGGAGGTCTGGGTTCCTCCTTTTCACCTGTTGGCTGACTGGAGTCCTGTTTGGGTTTCTTCTCTGCTTTCAGGAAGGCCCAGTTAGGATATCCACATTGCTCTAGAGCCTGTCTTGTGTGGGATTTCTCCTTCTGCCTGGCTCCTGAGCTAGTGGGGACGCTGTCTGCTCTGTGATACAGAGTCCTGATGACTCCTAACTTGTGCTACAAGGGATGATGGGAGTCAAACTGCAAATACTGGTCTGTGTGGGTGGGTTTGCGGTACACCTCAGTTTCCAAATGTCCTCTATCAGAGACTGAGACCTCACAGTCCAAGAAAGCCAACCTGCCATTTTTTTACATCTTGTGTGAACTTGATGTATTTATCCACAGAGTTGATGTGGTCAGTAAAATGTTGGACTTCCTGAGATTTAATTTTAACCCAGGTGTCATCAACAAACCTGAACCAATGACTTGGTGGTGTCCCTGAAAAGGACGTCAAGGCTCTCTTTTCTACCTCCTCCATGTACAGGTTGGCAACAATAGGAGAAACTGGAGACCCCATAGCACACCCATGTTTCTGCCTATAATATTGCTCCCCATATGTGAAGTAGGTTGACTGCAGGCACAGTTTCAAGAGTTGACACAGTTGTTCTGCGGAAAGTGTGGTCCTGCTGCTCAGAGTCTGATTTTAACCTTAAACTGACCACCTCTACTGCATCATCAACAGGATGGGGCACTGAAGAAGTCTTTTGGATAAAAGATGAAATTCATTCAACCTTTATTTAGACAGGTTAATCCCACTGAGCCTCGGGGACTCATTTACAAGAGAGACCTGAAAATGTTTCAACAAAGAAGAATCTGTCCAGAGGACCTGACTCAGCCTTGTTCGATGCTCTTTGTTAACATCTGCATTCAAAATATTAGCTTTATTTTTTTAAGTAACAATTAATTATGTAGACTTTTGAAGAGCGGCGAGTTTAAATTACTTCAGTAATTATGAACTAATATTTGCTAATGAATTTTGTTATACTTTTACCAAAAATGTCTGTTGAAAACACAACTTAGAATACGTTAATGCTTGCACTTGACCAAGCAATGTCCTTCTGTAGCATGAGGTTGATGTCATAAAGGCCTTGAAGCAACAGATTCACCGAAATGTTGGAAAATATGAGTTTGTTTGCACTAAATGCAGCAAATACATTAAAATTGATCAAGTTATTACACAATTAAACCAAAATCCCAAAATAGAATTTACTTCTGCTTAATTCCAACTCCACTTTTTAACTTGTTTATTTCTACAGACATTGGAATGAGCCACTTGTAAGTGTTTTTTTCTTAGTTGCATTAAAAACCATAATAATTACATCACTATCATCGTCAGCCTGGCTTTTTTTCTTTTTATATATATTTTGTTTTGCAGCAGTTTTAATAATGTGGTGTGCAAAACACTAGGCTCATCGACGGATTTTGTGAAACACATAAAACAAAATGGTGAATAAATGAGGCATTAAAATGCCTCACATCCGAGGACCACAATCCTCCAGACCACATGCAATTATGAGTTTTGGTCTCTTAATGCGAGGAGCGTTTCTGTCAACAGAGAAAGAGCTGCAGAGGGAGGCAGGATGGTACCAAACCTCTTTTAGTCCTAATTACAGCTTCCTGTCTCTGAGTCCTGCAGAGCACAAGCAGGAGTGATTTCAGGGGTCCCCCTGTGGCCCGCCCCCTCACCAGACCTCCGGGCCACACAGAAGACTGAAGATCACCCCTCTGACCCTGTTCAAACAGGAAGGAAAC